GGGCTGTGGTGAGGCTTATTACATAATTGCTGTACCTATCCTGAAGAGTATCACTGCGGTTTGGTTTCCTGTTGATAAGCGCACATTCACAGAGTACTTTGCTGCAGAGCACAGTAGAAGCAATGGAAGTACTCTGAAGCAGGCAGGATGGCTCCTAGCACTTATCAAATTTCTGGCACCCCAAGATTCCTCACTTTTGTATCCATTCATTTCTCCTGTCCTATCTATTTCAAAAATCCAACATTCCCAGCTCTCTCACTTCCACCTCAGCCATGACAGTTGAAGAATGGAACTAAAAGACAAAAGACCTCTCAATCCCATTGATAAATCCTGATCACCCATTAGTTTGATCATTTAAAATGATCAGCCTATTTATGCTAATCAATATAGACAAAATCATAGCACTACCATCTGTGATGCAGGAGACCTTAACTTTGCCAGAAAGCCCGACTTACTCTGTTAAAGTATTGTAGATTGACTAGTAGTGCTTTCAGTTTATTTAAAAACAGTATTTGAAATACCCTATACTAATTTTAAATATAATGATATAACCGCTCTGAGTCACCCAAGGGCTGAGAAGAGCGGTACATAAATATAGTAAATAAATAAATATACATGAAACAATACGAAATAATTTACACAAAGATCCCTGAAATATTTTTATGTCACAAGCTCTCCTCTCTGCCAATATTAAATTGCACAAGAAGAATCCCAGCCTTTGGTTCTTAACGGCTTCATACATTTTGTGTAATTAGCCTTCTTAATTTGCACAGTCGATACCTTTGATAGTGAAATGTCTTCCTCATGAAGCCATAAAGCTATATGACACAAATTGTGCAAGTGTCTCTTATTTATATAAACATACAACAATTGCATTGGATGGCCCTCGATATGAGAGTTTAGGTAATGCACTTATCCACAAAATGCACAAAAGAGCCCCTTGACCCCAATGCTTTGTTACACAGATGTGCATCTATGCAGTGAAATTACAATCAACCATTTAGTAGGATTCCTTCAGTGTGAATTGGACTTGTTTACAAAGAAAATTTTCCTGTAAGCCACCTTGAGTCCCAATCTGAGACAAAGGCAAGATATATGGTAATGAATAGATGGCAAAAGTTATCCAAAGGATACTAATTTAGCTATGGTAGCCAAACAAATCTGGTCCTTTGTAATTCAGAAAAGATATATCTTATATTCATTCCTAACCTTGGAATCATTAAAAGCAAATACTTCATAATATACCAGGTTCAGAAGACAAGGGCACTAAACAACTTTCATGTTGGCTATTCCACTGTTACAGAGAGCCATGGTGGTGCAATGGGTTAAACCCAGCTGAACTGCTGACCTTAAAGTCGGCAGTTCGAATCCATGAGACTGGGTGAGCTCCCCTCTGTCAGCTTCAGCTTCCCACGTGGGGACATGAGAGAAGCTTCCCACAGGATGGTAAAATATCGGGTGTCCCCTGGGCAACCAGAAGCGACTTGCAATTTCTCAAGTTGCTTCTGACATGAAAAAAGAGACCTCTTCTTCTAGAAAGCTGAGACATCCTGAATGCAGATTTTCAAGCAACATCTCAATAGAAGAATGCCATGAAAAGGATCATGTTATGTATTTCTGATTATGTTCCTCATATGCTAAGATCTGGTATATCAATTTTCCAAACCGATTTCTTCATATGGTTATTGTGTACCACCTCAGATGACAATGAAACAAAGGAAATGTTCACTATCGACAATAGCAGATATTATAAAAATCACTATGTAAGATATTTATTATGCACATTTGCAGTGAGGGGTAGCACCATATTGTATAAAGTATTGACAGAGTTTTACTTGCCATGCCAAACAGGCAAGATATTTATATAATTATTAAAATATCTCATATATCTTCTATTTTTAACACTTATTTCTGCTTGCCGTGGCAGTACATAAACTAAAATTTAATTTAAAATATATTTTGTCCTTACTTTGTGTCATAAATTAGACATAAGCTGAAGGAATACATAAAATAAGCCTCTAACATTTGTCTTCTTCTAGCCAACATAGTTACAGGCTGCTCTTTGAACCTGCAGACTAATTTTTTTATTTGTTTTGACTCTATTGAAACTACACAGAATATAAGAATTGGAAGTCATTATTAACACTTCTTTCAGCAGTTATCTTTACATAAACTACAGGGAATTCTAGATGGTTTAAGTAAAAGTGTTTGAGCCATCCTCAGACTGCTATATTTCAATAAAAATACAAATTTCACAGATCAAAAAATTACATGTCTCAGTATGAAATGTTGGCAACTCAGAGGTTAGCTCAGGTCTAATTCTTTTTAGCTCTGATTCACTCTGTGAATTGTGCAAGTAGGTTAGAGGCTACATGACCACAAGGGTTGGTTAGCCCAGTGGAACATGTATGATTGTGCTAATGATATTCTTCATCACCTTGAGTCTACAATACCCATTTCTCCCAAGTCTCATAAATGGAGAGAACCCTAGGATCAGTGAACTGAAGGAATGCCATGGAGGAGATGGATCAAGTTTGGATGTTGCAGCACCAGAGACTATGAACCAATGAATTCAAGTTACATGCAAAACAATTATACCTAAAAACCAGGAAGATGTTTTAAAATTATAAATTATGTTCAACAGTGGAATAGACTACCTCAGAGGATGTGGTACTGAGGAGGTTTTGAAGCAGATTGCATGGCCATTTTTTTGGGAGAGCTTTAAATGTGCATTTCTGCATAGCTGTGGGTTGGCTGTTACATTCCTTCCCAACTCCATGATTCTAGTTTCTCAAAGTCTGAAAATACTATTATTTTGTTTCTCTTTACCAAATAAGGTTGAACACTGTTTAAGCCATCCAGTGCATGGCTATCAGCCTCATCCCAGTAGACTGGAAAAGCTTCATAAGAACCTCATCTCATCAATGGACTGGAAAAGCTTCGTGAGAACCTCATGCCATTAGACTGGAAAAGCTTCATGAGAATCTCATCCCAGCAGGCTGGAAAAGCTTCATGAGAACCACCACTCCACTTAATGTTACTCCAGCAACAGCAAGGGTGGAAAAACCAGGCAATTCCAACTGGATGGCCCCCACGAGGGTCTTCTTCCAGGGGTAAATCAAGAATGGGCAACTTGGAAGTCCCTGAATAGACTGGAGTGGGCAGATCAAAAGACAACCTGGCAAAATGGCACTACCTAGAAGAATCCTCCGCCTTGTGTGACGGGAGCAGAACAAACAACCCCACATCTATATGCTTGCCCATAGTGCCCTGCCTCATGAACAGAGGAAGAATTGTTTAACGCTACAGACAATGCATTTGCTGTTGCCCGTTTTTGGTCTAAAACTATTTTGCTGCTTGTGCTCCATCTATTTTATCAGTTTTTTTTTAAATTTATGCAATGCTTTTGACACAAAATAAATAAAACCAAATTCTGCTGTACTAATGTTTCAGTTTCAAGACAATATCCTTAGTATTGTATTTCTTTGATACATTGCATGCTCGGTAAAAGTAAAAATGCTCAATTGTTACATTTTACTAAAATAAATACAGAAGAAATAGGAAAAAAGAGAATCACATGAAAAGCATATTTAAGCCCAGGAATTCCATCTAGTGGTAGGTTTATACAATAACAAATTCCAGGCTCTATACAAACCAGCAAAATTCAGCTCTTTGAAGAGAAAACCAAATTCCACCTTTATTTTCTGTTGAAACCTATTTCTGGCTGAAACTCATAACAAAAAATAGGTATCATAGAGAGGAGAGGTCATCTGCACCTACTGGCAAACTTCATATGAAACTGAAAATGGTTTCAGCAAATCATCTTCTTTCCCAGACATTCCATAAAAATCATGCAATGCAAATTGATACAACTAACAGTTATGAATGCCAAGTTAAAAACTTCCAAATTAGAAGTTAGCAAAGCACAATAAATGCTCCCCTCTACAAATGCTAAATTAAAACAGGGACATCAACACATATTGCACAAATGTGTATGTAAACAGAAAATAAAGAAATATATATGTTAGACATTTGGTTATCCTAGCAAAAATATCAATGAAATATTAGAGGTTGATGTTGACCAACCTCCTTATTCATACGAAGCTTGGCCCATTGAACAAGCTGCTATGCCCTGTTTTATACTTTCTTAAGCAACACAACAAAACATGCAAACTTTTGTAAAACAAAGAACCACAGAAGAAATATCCACAGAAGAATGTGCATATTGTGTTGAAATGAAAGATTTATATGGACTCTGTAGGAAAGGTCACACGAGCACACATGCCGTTTTCATACTTGCTCACTGCTTTTCAAACTTCTGATAATCAATCAAGTCTTTGCTCTGAACTGAAACACAAGCTTTACTTTCAGAAAGTATAATGGAAGGAATTATCCATGCTCAGGAAAAGGCCATAGCTTTTGCATCAACTAGCAGTACACAGCCATTCTGCATTGAAGGATGCTGAGAATATTAATCTCAAGCCATAAATTATTTGGGACTTGAAGGAACACATCTCCTTGTAAACATCTGCCTGAAATTGAGATCTATTGGAAGGATCTTTTTGTATACCACCAATGGAGGGCAATATACTCTTGGAGACATTGGAGAGGGTCTTCTCTATTGTACCCCCATCCAGTTATGGAATATGGTCCTCTTTGGCGGCCGAATGGTGTCAACACTATTGTCATTCAAGTGACAAGTAAATGTGGCTCTTTATTAGGGCCTTTGAGAACTGCTGATGTGATCTACGCCTGCATATATATATATATATATATATATATATATATATATATATATATATATCTTTTAATTGTCCTAAACTGTTCTCTTTTAATACTTTGAATCTTTAAAACTATTCTTTCCGTTTTTATTCAGATGATTATTTCTAATTCATAGTAACTTCTTCACAGGAAATGATAAACTGAGATCACTTAAAAGTGTGCTCTCATATGCAGTTTGGAAATCGTTCCATTAATTTTTCCTGCAAAATCCACAAACATTATGCCACTTTCTGATAATACTCTTTTGTAGATATCCAAGAAATACACTATATCAAAATTGGCCCAATGTAATACAGTACTAACATAGCCTCCACTTCTCAGAAGTGGTTTTCCAAAATTTAACAACACTAATACAAAATGTGTCATTGCATTTAAAAACACCCACCTTTCTTCTCGGTTAGATTTAATTTACCGATTTTCACAATAAATTAAAATGTGAGCTCAAGTAGAAACCAAAGGAGGCTTAAAAGTACAATTCATGCCTTGCAGTAAAATTCATAAACAACTTTATATGACAAAAGGTCATAATGCTCAATACAGTTTCTGTTTCTTTAAAAACTGGTTGAGGTAGCTTAATGTACAATACAGTACAAGGGAAGAAATAGAATATATGTGTCTTGACTGATATAATCATCAGAGGAAATCTTTTGAGTAGTCTGGTAAATCTGTGCTTAAATGTACATAACTATCCGGGGAGCTGCAGTCCTGGTTTTCATAACATGCAGAAAATACATGCTCAGCAAGTCCACCGAGAGGCCTCTGCTAATGATTTACATGTGCTGAAGTGTCCAGCCTCCAAGTTGGCTGGCCAACATCACATCCTGTGTGTCTAAGCAGATGCAGGCGAACAGCCATATGTGCAGCCCAGTGCAAAAAGAAAGTCACGCTTCACAAGACAGGCTGGACCTGTGCAAGCGAATTCAAGATGTGTGCCTTTTGTGCCAACATCTCACATCTAGGCACCATTTCCACATCAAATGGAGGCAATGTAAAATTTCCATGAGAAAAATCCTTTTCAAAAATCAAGATTTATGGTCTTCTAAAAGGAGATTATTCAATGAAATTACAGTAGTTGCAAAGTCCACCAGCTCCACAAAATCTGATGTAATTATGTTAACGCCCATGATGCCTGGTTTCTGTGACTTCACCCAGTTCAGAATGAAAGGGAGATTCCTAAGGGAAAAAGAAAAGAGAATGTAACATAATCCTTTGCCAACTGTATGAGGCACACTGCATCTCAAACATTTGCTGTGTTTACATGGTTAAAATAATATGGACCCATTGCTCAATTGCTGTGGGGAGTCCATATGATGCATGTGTTGTGTGCGCAACATATCCATTACATTCAGTCATGAACCTGTGTCAAGTGAACATAGGATTTCAAGCAATGCTTGCTGGAAGCAGATCCTGTAGTGTCAGCAATGAGGACACCTGGATCTGGCTATATCCAGCTTAATCTGCTTGTCTGCACCACCAGACTAGCCCACCGCTGCCTTGCTGCCAACAAGCAGTCCTCTACCAAAGACTTGCTGACCTCATTGCATTGCTGGTAAGGTCACATCAAGCGCTGAGATGCATGACCAAAAAGGCAACGTCACCAGCAAGGGGGCTTCTTGCTGGTGGAGTGGCTGCAGCAGCAAACCAGTCATGCTCTCAGATTGGCCAGTCATGTGAATGTCCAAATGTCTCCAAGGGCTATTTTGGAGTGTTTCCAGTGAGTGTAGACACAGCCATATCCAGCATGTTGGCATTCAATTCTGCATTAGCTACATGCAAGGTTTTAATCAATTAAGCACAAATCAGTTTGGAGTCTGAGTCCTCTGTTACCAACTCAAGTGTTCTTGGGGCTTGCCTTACCCTTCGTCCTCCCTCCCATGTTTGTTGCAGCACAGGTGATGCCATAAACAACCTCAGGGGAGAGGGGGAAAGTAAAAAAAAAAACCCTTTGTCTCCCACTTCTATTCATGAAGGCTTCCTCTGGATCCAAGCCATTTCCATTCATGGAAGGGAATGTTTGGTAAACATAAGATTTCCCTTGGGTCTAACCAGCTGTGTTGATAAAGAGCAGACATTTTGGGAAGTTAGAGTTGTAGCCAGGTGTCTACAACTCCATTCTGCACAAGATTCTGCTCACAACTAAGAAATCAAGGAGGACAGTCAATCCCATTACAAAATTGAGATATTGGAGTAATAACATATGAAAGTATGGGAAGTAGACAGGTAAATGTTTTGCAACCTGCCTTATATGTTTTTCATGGTGTGGCCATGACAAATATGTGATCACAGAGAGAATGAATACCAATATATATGCTTCTGAGACAATTCCAAGGTAATCTAACTAGTTATGAAACCACCATGATCCATTTTCAGACAAGAATGATAGCTTCTAATGCATTTTCTGTTATGAAAGATCAAAGTGGTTTAGCACCATCTACTGTCTTAATATTGTAGAGCAAATTTACTTTGGGAAATTTCAGAGAAAATTTGTGATAATAAAAGATGTGTTTTATTTAATAAGGGCCCCCTGGTGGCACAGCAGGTTAAACTGCTGAGCTGCTGAACTTGCTGACCGATAGGTCGGCAGTTTGAATCCGGGGAGCAGAGTGAGCTCCCATTGTTAGCCCCAGCTTCTACCAACCTAGCAGTTTGAAAACATGCAAGTGTGAATAGATCAATAGACACCACTTCTGTGGGAAGACAATGGTGCTCCATGCAGTTATGCTGGCCACATGACCATGGAGGTGTCTATGGATATAACTGGTTCTTTGGCTTAGAAATGGAGATGAGCACCACCCTCCAGAGTTGAACACGACTAGACAATGTCAGGGGAAACCTTTACCTTTTATCTTTATTTAATAGTGGCACAGTTGCCATTTTTAAGCATTCTAAAGGTGAGGAATTCATTCCTGCGAAGTCCACTTCTTTAAAAAAGGGGAGGGGGGATTTTATGAATTAATAGCTGGACCCTGCTGTGAAAATCATAATGCCAGAATTATAGAATTCTGAGCCCATGTGTCTGAGTGCCAGAATTGAATGGAGCTCACATTCATTCCCCACAAACATCTACTTCAAGTTTCCTCCAAGATGTCTTCGGTTCAATAATATTATTTTGGAGAATGATTGTTAAATCATTTGGAGTTAGAAATTCTTGATAGTTTCCCTCCTGCCTACCCCACTCTAAACTTATGTATGATTTTTCAGTTAAAATGAAGCTTCCTTTGAAGTTCTAATATCTGTAGTTTAATGCTACAGTCATACAAATCTTTAGGAACATAATTGGTGTATGAATTATTTTTAAAATATTGGTCAATTTTTGAATGGTTAATTGAGCAATGATTATTACTGAATGATGATAGCCAGGGCCACCAGTGGGTTCTTGATATGTGCTGGGTTCGGTTACAAATGTGGGTGCTCAAATCCCATTTTATTTAAAGGCAAAATAAAATTGTGTCCTTTATATAAAAGAGCAAAATCATAGCTTGCTTTTTAGGATTAATGAAAGAGTGAAAGATATGGATGGTTGAATCCATGGATGTAGAATGTTGACTGTACATATTGTGGGAGAAAAAAAAGTCACCTAATCTTATTTTGGTCGGTAGATGGCAGCAACGTGCCATGTAGCATTTTCTCTCTCTCTCTCTCTCTCTCTCTCTCTCTCAAGCCCAGCAAAGCAATGAAGTTTTAACTTACCTGTGAACAAGTGTATTTTTCAGGCCACGAATGAGATGCCGAGCAATAGTTTTCACTCTTGGCGTGAGGATTGCTTGGGAAACATGAAAAGTTCCACATGTTTCTCGCTCCCCAAGAGTGGTCTCTAAGAACTGTAGCAGTTTATGTACATTGGTAGTGTTTGCCCATGGTGCTGGCATTTTATTCCCTGGCCATAGGAAGGGATATTCTCCACAAAAAGGATGATGGTAGAAAATAAGAACCTGAACATTGTAAGACAGAGGAAAAAAGAGGGAGAGAATATATCAGAAACCTCTTTGCAAACTAAAATTTTGTTCTGCTTACATTTGAACTGCATTTTAATGACTTTCAATAATTTGTTTTCTGTATTCTGGGCAAGGGAAGGCTTGCACTGCTATTAGAAGGACAGTGATGATACTTATGCAGAGATACTGATACTTACATGTTTGTCTTGTATTTATTACTGAAGAGTGAAACACTCCTATCCTGCCTTTTCCTCATTACCTTGTGAAAGATATCTTTAGCCAGATAATCATCATTTGCTTGCTTCTGACTACAAGACTATCACAATGCCACAAAGCAAGGATGAGGATTCAGCTAGATTATATATAATTGGACTGATTAGGCACAAACAAGGCTTTTCTCATTTATCTCACTACATTTTTAGTTCATTGCATCCTCCAGAGCAAGACATGCAGCTTTAATGGCACCCATTAAAAGACAATTCTGACTTTGCTTCTGGAACTTCTTTTTAAAAGGAGAAAATGTGAAAATGGAAGAAAAAGCAAGAAAACGCAGGGAGTTACACAGGGAAGATATTATCAAGGCAAAGTGGCTGAAAAATGAAAGATTTATGTTAATACACCTTGGGATGGTAAAATATCCGGGCATCCCCTGGGCAATGTCCTTGCAGATGGCCAACTCTCTCACATCAGAAGCGACTTGCAGTATCTCGAGTCGTTCCTGACATGAAAAAGAAAACCCTGGGAGTAAAAATAACAACAAAGAGAGAGTTTTGGGCCATCTTAAAGTTTAACATGTTTTATTTGGGTTAAGGTTTGCAGACTCCATCAGATACAAGGTACACATTGAGTATGTCTTAGCCATAGTGCTTGGAACCAGAAGTGTTTTTGAATTTTGATTATTATTATTATTATTATTTATTTTGGAATGCCTATATTTGCATATACATAAATAAAAAGTTTTCTTGAAGATGGCACCCAAGTCTAAACAAGACAATCGTGTATGTTTCATATACACCTTATACACATAGCTTGAAGATCATTGCATACAATACTTTTTAAACAATTTTGTGCGTGTGCATGAAACAACGTTTGTGTACACTGAACCCTCAGAAAGGAAGGGGTCATAATCTGAGCCAACCACACAAACAATTTTGGCTTTTGGAGTACTTCAGAATTCCAGGTTAGGGATTTTCAATCTGTGGGCCCTTCTACACTGCTATATAATCCAAAATACCAAGGCAAATAATCCACTTTACTGCTAAACTGGATCATATCAGTCAGGCCTGTAGCGGGGGGGGGGGGGGGGGGAGGGGGTAGGGGAGGGGGTGGTTTTAGGGGTTCAAACCCCCCCCCCCGAAATGTTTCAGATTTTTTTTAAAAAACCTGGTTTACTCATGAATTTTAACTGGTTAACCAAATCCCCATGCTAAGTCTATGAGATGCAAAAAATCAAGAGTCCCTCCAGAACTGCAAGCACTATCTCAAGCAAATATTAGCAATTTATTCACACTGTCATTACTTGCAGCAATAGCCGATGTAGTTATTCTGGTACAGCTGTACCAGGAGCTCCAACTTTATTTGTTTTGTATTAAATGTTTGCTTGCAGTCCTAGGTTTCAGGGACTCTGCAGATAGGTGGCTTCTTTGGTTGCAGTCATAGGGCAAGTCACCTGTCCATCATTGTTAAGTTTTGGTCCGCCCCTTGCTCAGGGCAATTGGGAAGGGAGCCATTTTTAGTTAGTCTCAGCAAGGTAAGCTTATGTATAGGATGTGTGCAAGCTTCCCCTGTACAAAAGCTTCAACCCTTAAGACCTTCCGGGGGAGAAAGGTCTTAAGAGTCTCCAAAGAATTTCCAGGAAAACAGCCCTAAAGACCAAAGAACTCCAGCTGGAGAACATCTACTGCCTTGCTGGTAGGTCCACTCGGCGTTCGAGACGCAGTTCGACCCGGTAGCGGAGCCCACATCAGTAAGGGTTAGATTACAGTCAGCCTGGGAGAAGTTAAAACGGGGATTTTTCTTTAAAGAAGAAGTTATTGAAGACAGTTGCCTGTCCTTCATGAGCAAGATTAGGAATTCACCAGTTGCCTAAAAGCTTGGAATCATTTGCTTAACTTTACTGAAGACAAGAGAAATTTCTGTTTGATTGTTCATTAATAAAAGACTTTGTTGTATTTCTCAAGCCATCTAAAGACTGTTTGTGGTGGAAACCTCTGAGAACTTCTCTTTAGGCCCCATGGCTTCCCGTTGGGCAAAGGTTACAAATCCTGTTCTAAAGACAATTATTTACAGGCCCAGCGCGCAACAGAACAGTAGTGAAGCAACCTAGTTGGGGGGGGGGGGGTGAATGCTCTCATTAAGGAGGCCAGACTTGGTGGAGGTGGTTGACAAGGGCGGAGCTGCAGGCTATTGAAGGATGCTCTGCCCCCTGCTGTGCTCTTTGCTTCAGCGTGAGCTAGGAGGCAGGTTTCAACCCCCCACCCCGTGAAATTTTAAACTCCCCTCCCCCGAAAATTTCAACCCCTCCCGAATTTTTTTTCTGGCTACGGCCCTGATATCAGTCTACACTGCCATATAATCAAGTTCAAAGCAGATAATTTGGAATTTATACAGTTGTGTACCATGGATGTTGGGGTGGGGTGGGGTGGTAATTACATTTGGGGAAAATGAACCATTCCTAAAATCCTAGCTGAGGGACTCTAGGCGTTGTAGTCAAAAAGGTAACTTTTCTCCAGCTAAGTCTTAAAATATCTGTTGTGCATTTTTAGATTGCAGACTGAGAACATCACTATTCAAATGTGGTCACCAGGGGGTGGTGTCTGCCTGTTCTATTACTCAGAGAAAAGAGAAGGAAAAATACAACAAAGAAGAAAGGACAATCCACGTGTTTGAAGATGTTGCTGATAAATAGTCACCTTGAGCTTCTAGAAGGGAGGTGGCTGGTACAGGTGACCAGGTCTCCAGGTTTCCATAGAGTGAATAGGACATGATTAAGATGGGAAGAGCAAGCCAAAGCCAGGTGTCTCATGGGCACTAATCACATGGATTTTAATTTAGGACCAAAATAAACTAGGAGGGAAAGAAAGTGTATAGAAACTGGATAAGGCATAAAGCATCCATCTTCCATACCAAACATGAACTCAAAATGTCTTTATGTTTTGTGCCAGAGAAGGTTTCAGTGTGGTCTAATATTAAATTAAAAGCAAACTGATTCACTTATTATAATTTATTGAAATGAATAAGTGCATTAATCAAGAGCACAATTAAATTAAGAATAAATCACAATTATACACTGATATAATTAAATGTGTAATGTATATTAGCATTAGAGACAGACAATATTAGAAATAAATCCCAATTATATTAACATGCCACAATTAATGACTTATAATAGACTGGAAGAAGAGCTTTAAAAATTGCTATTTAGCACCTCTGTCTCTTAAATTCTTTTTGTTCCATCCATAACCAGTTAGCTCAGCTCAGTTCAGCTGCATTTCCCTAGCAAAGCTTCCTAAGATGCAGCAAATAAGATTGTGCAGTTGGTTGCTGCTATGAAACAGACAGCAACCCTCTCTCTTAGCTTTACTTGTACAGTTAGACCTTATCTGTTACATGGGTTAGGGGTGAAAGATCCCTGGAAAAGTCAGAAAAAATGAATATAGACTCCAGTATTTGCCTGAGAGCTCATTTCTCTAAGCATCTCTAGGTCCTCTGATGTGATTCAATGGTCAACCACTGAATTGTGTTGAAAAACCAAGCACTCATTTGGATCTTCTAGCATGATGTTGTGATCAACAGAATTGTGCTAGAAGAACTAACAATTGTTGGAAGTGTGTAGTCAAAGTCACAAGGGCTTAAGTCTGGGGATTATGGTGGATGGTGCACCATTACAGTCATACATGAGAATCTCCATAACTTTCACATTGCTGGGGTTCTGACGAAATTTTGAACTTTGTGGTGACCCGTAATGATGCCATTCATTCGATTGGCATTTCAGTTCTGGCTGGTACGATCTGGCCCAAGTCTCATCCAGTGTAATGATATGGAGTAAGAAAGCCTCTCCTTCGCACTCATAGCTCTCTAAGTGGGTACAAGCAGCATTGTATCATAGCCATTTCTGCATTTCCATCAAATGATGTGGACCGCACTGTGAAGCAATTTTTCTTATGCCCAGGCATTCCTTCAGAATGTGGAGCACAGTCGTGTGTGCAAATCCTGTTTTTCAGGCCAGCTCGTGAATTGTATGGCGTTGATCACTGTCTACGAGTGCAGCAACAGCAATCACTTCCACTTTGTTGACACCATGACAACCTGGCTGATGCATGTCTGCCACATTTTGGCATCCTTCGTTGAAGGCTTTTACCCACCTTGCCACTGCTCTGTAAGGCAATACAGATTCCCCACAAGCCTCTTGAAGACCTTGATGACACTGTTGTGCTGTACAATCTCTGGCACATTCAGTCTTTATCCAACTCTGTTGTTCTTGTTTCAAAAACATTGCAACAACACTTACTTTAGACCGCAAGCTAATATGAGACTCAGTTCTTTGCGTCACTCCGCATGCGCGTGATGTAGGAAGGATGAATCTTTTTTGCTCAGAGGTAAGGTTGGTATGTAACTAGCGTGTGGTATACACAGCATTCTTTGGTATTGTTGCATGGTGTCTTTACAGCAGTGTTGTCACTATTAAAGTTCCAACCCTGATGCTAGCCATTTCCCATAAGAATTTTCCGTATTTGAGTTTCCTGGCATGGACCGTACCCTGAATGATGACTGTGAGCACTGACAGTGAGTTCTTTAATGCAAGATGGGATTAATGATCATATCTATAAAAAGTGGTTGCACATCTGTATTTGTTATGATGTGTGGAAATTATTTGATGTCAGCTACAAAAAGGTGCCTTTCCTAAATTAATGAGAATGTCTATATCTCATTGAAGACAGGTGGTGGTGGGAAAAAACATATTTTCAATTCCATTTAACATGGTCTGTAGACATTAAAAGACACAGGGCTTTTATTCAAATGAGCAATGACAGATCCTAATTTCTAAAACACCTTTCCTCCTTTTTATCTCTCACTAACAACAGTTGCATCTACAGCAATCAGATCACATGTATTGGAAATCTATGCTTTCCTGACACTTATTCTAAGGCTCCAATATAATTAAATGAGGTTTGTTCTTTACCTGTTTTTGTTTTTCCCAAAGTCTTTCCAAGGTCACATCGTCTACACATTCCTTCGTGCAAAGTTTTGATCCAAACACTTCTTCAATCCTGCTGATCAGGTACTCATGATGGTTCTTATCCATAGCATAGAAATGGTTGAAATCCAAGAAAATAATTTCCTTGGGATGATGTGTTAGAAAGGTGTTGATCTCCATCAACCCATCCCATACTTTGATTCCAAACAACCCATGTATGAAGTATATTTCCTGCCCTGCTTCACCCGGTTTGGAAGATACACGAAGGTCAAAGTAGCGGATTCCACCCTCAAGCTGCTCCTTGAACGTCAAGTTTTGTGTCACTGACCACTTCTTCATTATCTTCTTCACCAAAGAAATTTTGGCTATCCGTTTGATTGCTGTAGCTTGATCAGGTCCCACAGGAGATTTCTCATCAACCCAGTAGCTGAAGGAGTCGTGTGACCCTACAAAGGAGATAGATGGTAGATAATTCTGTTAGTTTTAAATGCCCTGCATATGTTAGGTGCTCTTTTTTGTTGCAGCAGATTATGGAGATCTGGGCACAGATCCTGCAATAAGAGATGGAACATACATTTCTGGCAGGACAACTTATTCTGTATGTTATGCCTTCAAAACATGACTTTTGTTTCAGCACACATCCCAACACAACTATTGTCATCCTTTTGGAGATGAGGTGATGGAACAGAAACATTCAGCATTTACAGCTAGATACATATTGAGCTTACCATCTCCTAGGGCCATCTTTCTACCCGTTTTCCACTATAATTGGCTATGTTGGTTGAGGGCAGAGGAGAGAATGCAGAAGTGAACATGTAAGTTTGGGAGAGTTGGTCATTGGACAAGGAAGGAGAATTCCAACCTCCATAATGACCTGAAAAGGTGATTTACAATGGCATAAGATGGGCTTATAATAATATCATTTTAAGTTACCACCAGAGTCCCTGGTGGCACAGTGGGTTAAACCGCTGAGCTCCTGAACCTGCTGACCAAAAGGTCAGTGGCTTGGATCCGGGGAGTGGCATGAGCTCCAGCTGTTAGCCCCAGCTTTTGCCAACCTAGCAGTTCAAAAAGATGCAAATGTGAGTAGATCAATATGTGAGTAGATCAATAGGTACTGATTCGGCAGGAAGGTAATGGCACTTCATGCAGTCATGCCAGCCACACAACCTTGGAGGTGTCTATGGACAATGCCAGCTCTTCGGCTTAGAAATGGAGATGAACACCAACCCCCAGAGTCAGACATGACTGGACTTAACATCAGGGAAAAACCTTTACCTTTATCTAAGCGAGGCTCTATATTTATCTTTACTAAGTTACCAGAATGTCTTTTGCTCTGCTTATTTTAATTGCAAACCAAGCTATTCCACACAGTTACCTGTGTGGCTACAACATCAGATGAAAAATAATCATGCTGAATATGAACCGGGGAAGAGGAGCCAGCAGTGATAACCAAATCTAACTGCATGAATGTTTTTACTAACATCAAAAAATGTTCATACCAGCTATATGCTTCCTTACCTTTATGATGGATATGATGTACTTATAACACAATAGAATAAGCAAGCATTTGTATCTGTGTGTGCTTGGTAGACATCTCATGTGCTCACGTGCATACTCTTAAAAATACATGTTTCCTGCCATGCACAGTTTGAACTGCAAATGAGATTAAGTTCTTAAATGGATTACCTTGTTAGGGATATTGAATTCACCTGGATCTCCATACTCTGTACAAATAAAACATGAATGCACCATATTCCGAAGATGCTAGCAATAATTGGCCTCATAAAGGATAATGTTTTTATAACTTTTGTTTGGTACATTTTTTTAACTAGATGGATTTGTAAAATATTGTTATTTAGCTTTATTTGTTTCATCCCATACCAAGTCTTCATACACTTGATCCTAACTAAACAGCTAGAAGGAGATTAAAATATTTTACAGGAATGAACTGTTTTGGCATAAACCCAAAAGGGGTAAATAAAGAAGGGGTTCTTTTTTTGGCTGCGCAGGACTGAATGTAAATGACAGTGGACTCCTCCACATCTATATAACCCAGAATATCAAGGCAGATAATCCACAATATCTGCTTAGAAGTTGATTGAGTGAGATGGCATAAAACTTGATGAAAAGAAAGAGTTCAAATAATCAACTAACATAAATGCACCAGTATTTCAGTGTGAAGTGTAGCCTGGTTTTGGCTGATGAGCTAGTCAGAAGCAAGCAAATGACGATTATCTGGCTAGTCAAATTAATCAAGATTGCCGTTGTTGTTTGCCTTCAAGTTGTTTCAGACTTACGGCAAAGTCTAAAGTATAGGGTGAAGGACAAGTAAATAACCTTGTAGGACTGCACCTGGCCCGCAAACCTTAGTTTGGGGACTCCTGGTATAAACTGAGCTCCCAAGAAAACAAACAAAAGTCTAAAACAGTGGTTCATTTTGATTCTCCAATTTTGGACTTCAGCTCTCAAAATTATTTCCACTGGCCATGCTAAATCGCTTTCTGGGAGCTGAAGTTCAAAAGATGTTAAAGTCAAAAAGTGGGCTACCACCGCAAAAGTCTTTCTGTTTTCTGCAGTGGCATGTAATTGTGTGGTAAGTCCTGCATATTTTGCACCCTAATGCATATTAAGAGTAATGATTTTATAGACAAATAATTCTCAAAAATCTGACCTACAGATGTTCTGGATTCAGAGTTTTACAATCCCTGACAACTGATGGGACTTCTAGGAGTGAAATCCAAAACACCTGAAATACCAAAGGTCACTGATATTGATGAAGTTAGAGGATACGTCAACTGTCAAGAGCTTTGATTTTTTTATAGTACACCCAATTCCAATATATATTTTTCTTTGCCAGTGGTCCCAATTACAACAACTAAATAAATAGTATTACTTCTTTTCAAGATTGCTTGTGGTTCTAATTAAACACACCTGTACTTGCTAATTTGCTTTAGCAAAGTTCAGTGTTGTGTAGTCAGAAATGAACATTAAATTACACAGTGTTTACTGATATATGTCTTCCAGTCATTTCTGACTTATGATAACATTATTAGAGATGTGTCATTGAATTTCCTCTGAGACAGAGCCCTTCCACACAACCATATAACTCAGAATGTCAAGGCAGATAATCCACAAGATCTGCTTTGAACTGGGTTATCTGAGTCCACACTGCCATATAATCCAGTTCAACGTGGATTTTATACAGCTATGTGAAAGGGGACACAGCATGATCTGCCCAAGGTCAAGCAGTGGATTTCCATTCCTGAATGTGCATTCAAAACCTGATAATGCATTGGATGATATCTACACTTAACTGCCCCAAACTTAATTGTTAAGTCATCTTAGCGGTTTGTTTTGAATTTCTTTTATGATGGGGTTCTTAACTAGAGTAGTCACCTGTGTGTGACCCAGGTGCCAAGGAGAAGATAGTGCAGCATCATAAAAGGGTGAGATGAGACATCCCTGATCCATAAACCACCAGCTGCTAGTGCGTAGGCATATAGGTGGATGGAAGAATAGAAAGGCAGCCAGGTAATCTATGGGGATAGCTATGGGTATTTTTTGGAAACATAGCCATGAAGATCAGCATGATGAGTGAGTATGTTTGTGCCATCAAGTCACCTGTGGATTTCATATGGTGAGCTCCTACTTTACAGAATGTATCAATATACCACTGTATTCAACCTCATATGTACCTGAAATCAATGAAGTGTTATCCATACACAAAGCAATGTCCCCATTTATCCTTCTCAAGGACTTCACATTGCTAATAGAATGAACCTGTATTAGTATCAGTCAGAGCTCAGGGTTAAGTACCAAGATTTCCAGGTTTGTACCATGACTCTAAGCACCTCCAGTGTGAAGTGAGGCTAATCCCTTATGCTTATATTGCTTTTCCTATCTGTAATCTATCTAATTTGTTGCACTAAAAAGAAGCTAAATGTTTTTTTAAGTGAAAGATTTTTAGAGCCAACTGATTCCTTCAAATCGGTCAAAGATTGTGTTTCCAATCTATGGTGGCCCTATCACAAGGTTTTCTTAGCAAGGCGTGTTCAGAAGAGTGTGTGATTTGTTCAAAGTGGTTTCGTGGCAGAGTGGGGATCCAAACCCTGGTCTTCAGAGTCCTGGTGTAATTCTCAAAGCATTCTGTAATGTTAGCTTTTAATACTACACAGTACTTTACAATAACATTGTACAATAACTGAAATCCAAGAAAAGGGATTTTCCACCTTTATCTAAAAATAATCATTATTACAATGAAATGCATCTTGAGCATCCCTTATTCTGAATTCTGAAATCAGAAAAGCCTCCAAATCTTAAACTTTGTTCCATACACAAGAGTTTTACAAATATCACATAAAACTACCTCCAGGCTGTGTGAATAAGATGAGTATGAAACACAGGACCCTTCCATACTGCCCTTTATCCCTATAATCTCATCTCAGATTATCTCCTTTACACTGGAATATATGAGTCCCCAATGCTAGATAACCTGAGATAAACAGATAATCTGGGATCAGATCCTGGGATAAGGGGAGCAGTGTGGAAGGGCCCACAGATGAAATGTGTGTTTAGAACTAGGACCATCTCTAAGATACGTATATATAAATAGTATATACATATTGCAAAATCTGAAAGAAATCAAAATCTAAAATACTTCCAGTCCCAAGTATTTCAGATAAGGGATTCTCAATCTGTATATTATGTTGTGCATTAATAATAAAATATTTTCATATGCATAATTACATATCAAAAAGTAGGCAATGAATTGAAAGCACACGGTGTGGATGAGACTATATTCTTAAAAAATGTATCACTCCAACCTGAAATCAGTTTAGATAAAGAGATATATCTTTAAAGCCAATCAGGCTGAAGACATAGTCTTACACTTATGGGTTCAATGATAAATCAATGTTATCCCTGACTACCAGTGATTCTTTGAAGGCCCTTCCACACAGCCCTATATCCCAGAATATCAAGGCAGAAAATCCCACAATATCTGCTTTGAAGTGGGTTATCTGAGTCCACACTCAGATAATGTGGGATTTCCTGCCTTGACATTCTGGGATATAGGGCTGTGTGGAAGGGACTCAAGTAGAAGTTTTCTAATTTTTTGCCAAGAAAAGAACATGAGTACTTCCTATGCAAAGCATTGATATAACATTTCTTATTTGCACAGGATGAGACTTGTATACAAATTCCTGTTTCCTCCTATGTGGCTGTGACCCAAATTACAAGCTGCATTTTGTTTTCACAGAGCAGGGACAGGATTTTCAATGTCAAGGCATGGTTTGAAGAAATCTTTTTTTCCTCTCTGTGACCTGGAGAGAACAGAATAACAGAGGCTCTTAAGAAGATCACCTAATAACCCCGAGGTTATCTTATCTCGTCATCTCCTGAATGCCTCACAAATTACAGTTGCCTTAAGGGCACGAGAACCAGG